TGAGGAATCAGAATAAATACAAAATAGATATTATATTATAACCCTGTATTTATAAAACTGGAGCTCCCTTATAATCACATTTAAATTCACTGAATTGGGAAAAAAATACAGAACAAAATTTATAGTCAGACTGAATTAGTTTTATTTTGTTATCATCAAGACCCCTGAGCTGCTTTGATGAGCTCCTATAGCTCTGTGGAAACCAGCTGATCCCAGGCTGTTCTCTACATCCAGTCTGTTCCTCTGCTTGGTTTGGATGTGTGTCAAAGCTGAAGGTAAACCCAAACATATAAGAAAAGCTTACTTTTTTGTTGAAAATAGCTTGTTTATTTTTTCAGTTGGGTCCTCACAACACAAAACAAATCCCAGCCCTATTTTATTCTACTACCCAAGTAATAAAATATTTCCGTGTACCCCTTGCAATGCACTCGCAGACCACTGAGGGTTGGGTGCCACCTGTTTGGAATCACTGCCCTACAGGGTTAGACAAAAGATAATTGGTAAAAACACCGGATGTTCAGAAAGTGCTCCAAACATATTAATGGAAAGTTGAGTGGAAGGACAAAATGTGGGTTGATGAGTCACTCTAGAACCAGCAAAAAGATTATTTAAAATCAGATTAGTGGTTCAAAGCCTTCCTGAATAAAGTTAATATAGACATTTAGTTGAAAACAAGCTCTCAGAGACAAGAGGCACAAACTCCAAGTTGCCTGTGAGAATTTTCTAGAGTCAGTGGATTTGAGGGGCATTGCCATTAATTAATGTGGGTGCTCTGTGCTTCTTTAAGACCAAAGTCATTGCAGCTCTACCTTCAATGAGCCTTGTGGAGATGCTGATTTTATTTTCCTAGCAGGGCTTGGCAAATGTCCACATCAACAGAAGTACCTACAGCTAGTTTAGTGACCATGGCATCCCTATCCTTCAGGAAAACAAGCTCGCCTGACCTAAATCCCATGGGTAGTCGATGAGATGTTATTAAAAATAAGATGAAAGACTCTGGTGCCAACAACTGGGATAACCTGTTTGTTAGAAGGAAAACAACCAAGGCTTCCAATACGCCTCAAGAGGGCCACAGGCGGATTGGCTCCAGGCCACAACACATTGGTGTGAGCTACAGTATGCAAAGAGAAAATTAATCTGCAGTAGCCTCACATCTCTTAAATAAAAAAAAAAATCAGCATTTTGTGATATTTTTGGTTATTAGCTGGAAGTCATAAATCTGTAGTAAATAAAAAAACAAACAAACAAACAAAAAAAAAAAAAACAGAAACCAAAAAAACTTACCCAGTGTGTGGAAGACTTTGCACTAGGATTGGCAAAGGCACATCTGGTAATAAGCTTGAAACAAATATACCTTAAAAAAAGATAAGCATAAATAAAATGCGTAACTACTTACCAATCTGTCACTGATTCCTCCTTTGTGTCACCTTTGCGAAAATGTCTAATGTAGCAACAATAAACAAGTTTCAACAAGAAACGCAGAGCAGCGAGGTCACATCACACATGATGTTTAAATGCATTAACTAGAATAACTAGAATAGGTCCCCAGGTAGCCTGGGGCCCAGAAAACATGGCTGCAGAGGGACTGTAATACAAGCTGTTTGCAAATGAACAGGTCCTTTACCTTCCTGTGAAAAAACAAAAACTACACGGTTTCTTTGCAAACAAAAAGCAAACATGGATGAGGGCAAGGCTTTGCTGTGATTGGTGGATAAGGTAGGTTGGGTCCGAGCGCGTCATGCTGGGCTGTGAATGGCTCCCTACATACCGTGTATGGCAAGCAATCACATAACAAAATCAAAATGCTGCTAATACTCTTAAATGCAAAGTAAAAAAAGAAAGAAAGAAGAGCAGTTCCTATTGTCAAAAAACACACAATAAACTGTAAATAAAATGTTATTAATAAAAAATTGTATATTTCTAGAATTAAACTGCTGAGATTGTAGAATATGAAAACATGTTAAAGAATCATTAACTCATCCATGTACTTGCTTAGAGACTGGTGCTTATCTCCAGAGCAGACAATTTATACTGTTATAGCCAGACTTTAGAAGTAGGGTTTTTATCTTTGCAGAAAGATAATTATTAGTTGAGCAATAACCTAAGTAAAAGCAAAGGTGGGTAGTTACATTTACTCAGTTACATTTAATTGGCCAACTTTAAAATAAAATGTACTTTTAGAAGCTGTATTACTCCACTCATATTGTTTTCATTATTTCTACTCAACTTTTCACAACATGAAGAACGAGCACTAAAATGCACCGGGCAAATAAAGTTAGTTTGACTCAAATGAGTTGTTTTTTGAACACCAGCTTTGTTTTCTTAATCTCACTTCTATCAGCTAAGCCTTCTTCTATAAGGAGGTCAAAACATCAAAACAGCTCAGGTGTCTTGATGAAAACAAAGTAAAATAAATTCAATCAGTCTAAAAGTTTTGCTCAATATATTCATAAAATTTAAATCTATATAAAAAACGATGAGTTACTCAGAGGGGCTCCCGTTTTATAAATACAGCTTTATAATATGATTTTGTTTGTATTCATTTTGATTCCCTACCAACTTCCAGGCAACATATGTTTTTTTATTATTATTATTTGAGATGAAAAGAATAAAATGCCTAATAATTAAATGCTAAAGTTAAAAGATTAAGTAAAATAGTTTTTAATTTATATATCAGTTCTTGTACTTTTCACTTTTGGACAATCATCAATACTTTTGACTGAGGGGGTTCTCATGGTAAACGGGTCAAATAAGGTTGGAAAACACTGCTGTAGGGTGTCACTGACAGCCAGCTGGACAACAGTTTTATCAGCAGCTTTTGGTGAAATAATTTGCCAGCATTTTGTGTCTTAACTTATTGGATTTATTTAGTTTTTCGCTGCTCGGTTAAATTTTCCTTTGTTTTAACAAATAAGCCCATTTAGCCTTAACCTAAAACAAACTGCTTCTTCATACCCTTAAATGTAAAGTAAATAAATAAAGAAAGAACAACAGTTTCTACTGCCCCAAAGAAAATGCTAATGTGCAGTAAATACAATTTTTATTCATAACAAATGATATATCTCTAGAATGAAACTGCAGAGATTATATAACATTGAAGACATGCTAAATAAATCATTAACTCATCCATATACTTGCTTATCTGTGGTGCTTATCTCCAGAGCAGGCAACTTATACTGTTATAGCCAGACTTTAGAAGTACAGTTTGTATCTTTGCTGAGAGATAATTCTTGGCCATGTAATATAAGCACAGCGATGATATAAGCAAAGGTGGGTATTTACATTTACTCAGTGACATTTCACTTTTTTAAAATTTACTTTAGAAGTAGTTTTACTCCATCATGAATTCTGCTTTTTCTTTAAGTATCGTTTTCATTAAGTATTTATATTCAACCTTTCACAGAATGAATAACAAGCACATTTGAAACTAAAATGCACCAGGAATAGAAATACAATTAGTTTGGCTCAAATGAGTTGTTTTTTGAACATCAGCTTTGTTGTCTTAATCTTACCTCTATCTAAGCCTCTGATATATGGAGGTCAAAGTTATATATAATAAAAAGTCAATACTGTTTCTAGAGGTAGTTTACCCTCCAACATACAAAGTTTCTTCTGCTTGAGTTTGTTAATGCTCAGTTAAATCAGTTTTATTTTATTTTCATCTTAGAACACCAGGGTTTTCATTGATTTATATTTTTGTCCTGGCTGAATATATCATTTTATGAAGTAAATCAGATGGTATAATTACTTATTCAGTGCTTGTGTAGCCTTGTTAGTATTTACTATTTTACTCTTATGTGGATTATTTCTAGGAAGGCTACTTATTACTTTTACTGAAGTCAAAATATGTTAATAAGTAATGCAACTCTGAGTTGAGTGCAATTTTTTGAGTACATTATAAGTGATGAAGCATAAGAAAATAGTTTTCAGAAGGTTTCAGAAAGTTTGCTGCTACGGATGTTCTGTTAAAGTAACTCGCAGTTATAATGGAAGCCCAAAATTAACCATTTCCTCCCACACAAAGCTGTGATACAACCACATTTTTTGGGGCACATTATAAGTAGAAAAAAGAGAATACTTTACATTTTCATTGGCTTATTTGAAACATACACTATCAGAGAGCTCCAATTTATACCTGAAAATTCAAGAATGAAGTCCCATAATGTCCAGCAGCCTCTTGGCATGCAGGCCATGTGACAGTGACAGGATTGTTAAAAGGATTTTTAGATGAAATCACAGTTATTGAAATCATGTCCAGTATAGACCTGTGACCAGTAAGAGCATAATTATAAAGAAGAAATTATAAAGAAAATAAAACAAGCTACAATCTCTTGTCTGGAGTTCAGGTCTATCATATTTAAGCTACCGTATATAAAAAAAGAAAGAAAAAAAAAACACACTTGTGGTCTGATAAATAAGAATCAAAGTTAAAAGTTAGAACGCCATCAAAAACCAACAAGGCTTTATGTAACTCTTCATCTAAAACTCTATCAGCAAATTGCTTTTGATTTGATTTCCTTTAGGTTTTACTGCTTATAACTGCGACCTGCAACCTTTAAAACCCAAAGAGTAATTTTTAACTTGGGTCCAGCTAAATACAAGTCGATTAGAGCTGCATAATAAAATATAACGTATTATTTTTGTTAAATATAAGCTACAGAAAAAGTGTTGTTTTCAAGAACCAACATTTTATTTATATTTTAGGTTTCAGAATAAAGAAAAATACTAAAATTTTGTATAAAGATTTAACATGGATTGTGTGTGGAAAATAAAAAACTCAAACCCTTTATTGTCCCATATTGAGGAAACTCACTCTCTGCATTTAACCCATCCCCTTGGGGACCAGCGGGCTGCCATTTTTACATGTTAGCGGTTCTTTTTAATATCTGTTATAAAAGTTAAATCCAACTATACTTTTAAAAATTCTACTGAATTCTAAACCTGCCATGTTATTATACTGCATTCAGAAATATTATTTGGGTCTTTTGTCATTTTTTGCCACGATAAGGAGCCACTGTAGAACCAATAAGGGCCATAGGCTTTTGTGGTCAGATTAGTAGTTTTATTTCCAATCTAAATGCTACGCTTTATTGGGAAAAATAACTCCAGATCGCTTCAACACACCGTCCCCATGGTAAAACACGGAGATGCGGGATTATACTGTGGAGATCCAGACGTGGAAGAGGATCAGATGAAGATGGATAGAGCACTTACAAGCAGCACAGCAGTCTTATAAAGAGAATGAAAAGGATCAAGAAATATTCATGTGCTAAAATGATTCATGAAGCTACTTTGACTGTAAATGTAGTAAAATGTGATTTAATCAATTATGGACTCGGGGGAAGTGAATGCAAAAGCAGGTCATTTCAGGTTTCTTTAATATTTTGAAAACAAGATATACATGTTCCTCCTGTTTTACAGTCTTGTGCCGCTCTGTGCTGTTCAGCTCATAAATAATCCACTCAAATTATTAGAAGTTTGCAAACAGATGATCAAGGAAGATGTGTTTGTGCTCTATCAAATAAGTTAATAACCTGCAAGTATTTTTATTGTGGACGATTTCAAAAACAGATTCATAAGAGAAAAGGTTGATTTCTACTTAAAATTGAGCAAAAATAAAAAGCCTGTGGCTTTTACAGCATCACTCTCAACACACCACTGAATAAAACCTTCTTCAGATCAAGGTGACTAAATTTGAAGCAACAAAATAAAGTGAAGAATTCTTTGATTACAATTTTCACCCACACTGACTTTTTAATCACACGAAACTCCCAAATGATGTCAGTTTGAGAAACCCTCACCTCTATCAAAACGGTGAATGAGCCAACTGGTATTCCACCAGTTTATCAGCATTACACAGAGCAATCGGAGGAACATTCCAACACATTCCACTCCCCTTTAAACATTCCTGAAGCTAAAGTTAAGATAAGCTCGGTATATTAAAGAAGTCTCTGTAGTCACAGTGCGATATGAACCCTGAACGAATCAGATCCACAGACAGCGCGGTACATTCAATGTTCTTCATGATCCGTATTGAAACAGCTCTACGGCACATTAGATTTGAACAGATATGGCAAGCCCACACACTCAGACAGATGTTTACAGTTGCAAGACATTTCATTCTACACATACTTCAACAAAACATGTACATTTATATTGCCTTGAATGAAGCGCTAAAAATCTATTCTTTGGGTTATTCTTAAGAGCAAACTTTATTAATGCGTAATGATCACAAGCTAAAATAGTCATCTTTCTTAACCGTGCCTTCTGAACCACTAAAGCACAGCTGTTCTTCATGTTCTTGAGTGTATGGTTGAGCTCAGTGTTTGCTGATGCTGTACTGGAAACCTATTTATAATGCAAGTGTGAGATATTTTAGGCAAATTTCTCACCACCTTTTTCAGCTTTTTTTTTTTTGGTTTCCTTTGAAATTTGCATTTATTTTAACAGTCAAATTTGCAAGGATAAGGAAAAAAAAACAGAAATAAATTCTGCAATGCAAATATAAAACATAAACACGAAAATCTGAATGTAGAACGACAAGTTGGGAAACAAAGAAGCGCTTCATGTCCTTCTCCGACCGCACTGAATATATATATATATGTTTATATTGCTACTTGATCACTTGATGCCGATACACCAGTGAGCAGTGATGTATAGGTGCTTCAGGAGAAAAGAGCTCCGTTTTAGTGCGGTCGAGGTCTTCTAGGGAGGTGTGGATAAAGACGTGGCATCCCGGGATGGCTCCCTGCTGACTCCTGCTTTGAAGCTTTCCGCAGGCCAGCAGGGACACCCGCTGCTGCCGAGTGGGATGTGTTTGTTGAGGAGGAATTTGCCACCAGTTCGATTTTCCCCTCCAGTTTAACCAGCCGTGTCAGAATGTCATCCAGCAAAACAGCTATGGTCCTCTTCAGGTCAGCTGGAAGGCAAAGATTTCAATTAGAAAAAGTGCACACAATAATGACAAAAGTCATATTTTTTATGCTTACTTTGCCTCTGAACATTTTGTCATGTTTCAACAATTTTTCTGAAGTACTGATTAGTATGTTTGTGATAGACCACAGGTTTCCTGAAACTTTTACATGTTTTTTCGCACTAGAACGGTATGCTAATATCAATAACAGGAATGGGAAACGTGACTGCATGCTTAGAAGCCATTGTATGAGGTACATATCTAAGTTGGTAAACTGGCCCTGAAGGTCTGCAGTCTGACACCTATCTAGACCAAAGCAATGTAGTAGATAATTAATATTAGGCGTTGAGAATCAATAATCGATCGGAACCGCCTCTAACCTTTCATTTTTCCTGGCATTGTTCAAATTTCTTATTTTTGATTCCTAGTTTTGATGCCCAGTTTGCTGACTGGAAATAGAAACTACCTAATATCAGCGAAGAAGAATCTGCAGCCGTGTGTGCACAGGCAACTGTTTGAACTAGTGTTCAAAAGTGTAACTTAAAGACACTGTTGGGATTATATTATATGCACAGGAAGGAACATGGCTGACATGACTAAACAGCGCTGGAGTCAGGCCTCATCTTTGACCCAATGCACCGGTGCTAATTCATTCCTTGTCTAAATTAGGAGAGCTTCTGCAGGGAGAATGAAACCTTTTTTTTAATCCTTTATTTCTCTAATTTTACATTTTAAAAGATACCAGTCTCATTTTCTACACATTCTGGACATTGATGTAGATCTAAAAAATGTATGAATAACTTAGCATAACTTCCATCTTTTATTTTCAGTGCCTTGCAAAAGTATTCGGTATTCTTGAACTTTTTGACCTTTTGCCACATTTTAGGCTTCAAAAAATATATAAAATTCAATTTTTTTGTGAAAAATCACCACGTGGTAGTAGGGGTGTAAAAAAGAATCGCTTTGTATCGATGCATCGATCCAACAGCTGACGATCCGATGGATCGACACGTCTGTAATGATTCATGTTTTTTTTTCCCTCCGGTCTATTTTTTTCCCATTTGCTCCTGGAAGTAATTCTGACTCCCGCGCTGCGGTGGCGCTAAACCTATTTTGCCCTCCTACCTCGCTTCCTTTAGAACCTACCCTCTTTCCGCTTGCACACACACACACTCACGTAAACACAGAGGCATTATTTTTCAGTGAATGAGGTTTTCATATAGCCTCGTGAGACCATCCTGATCTCGCGAGCTTTCAAGGTTTCACTCGCAGATCAGACTGGAGACTCTCAGTTAAAGAAAATTTGGAGCCGTTCACCAAACGAACGTCCAATCAGCGTTGGCTTTGAGGCGGGTTGAGGTGTGACGCAATGAGAAGCGCGACAGTTCAGTTTAAAGAACATGGCGGCTTCAGACGATGAAACTAATGTTAGCGTGGCTATCGAGCAAGTTTTATCGGAATTACAGAGTATTTCTTCACTGAAAGAAGAGCAAAACACTGCTCTGGAGGCTTTTCTCAGAGGAAAAGATGTTTTTGCTCTTCTCCCGACTGGTTTCGGCAAGAGTAGCCTGGCTTGTGGTTGTGATTTCGTCGGCGCTCTGTTAGTACGTCATATGCTTCGTTGATCTGATTGGTTTATTTGGCCCGTCTATCACCAACATAGGCCAATCAGCTAACCAGTATTTTCGCCCCTTCCCAAAATTACTTCAACCGAAGGTTTCCAGATGGATATGCGGAGTAAATCCATCTGGCGGAGTCAGGTTAGTTTTCAAGTTTTCATAGGCCTAGGTCGAATAATACCTTGCTACTTCTGTTATTTGCTGTTGTTTCTCAAATAAAATGCATAACGATATTGCAGCTTTCATTGATTTATTCTAAATTTGAGACATTGTCTACCCTGTAAGTAAAAAAAAAAATAAAAAATTTAAATTAACCAATTAATCGAATCATATCGTGGTTTATTCTTGAGTATAGAAAATAATCTAATCGTTGGGTCATGAAATCGATACTGAATCGAATCGCCATGATGGGTGTGATTTACATCCCTGAGTGGTAGACAATCATGAAGTGGAACATAATATATTGAATATTTGAAACTTTAACAAATAACCTGAAATATGTATTGTATAAAATGATTCAGCCCCTATGAGTTAATACTTTGTAGCAATTACAGCTGCAGGTTGCTTGGGGTTTGTCTCTATCAGTTCTGCACATGAAGCGACTGAAATGGTTGCCCATTCTTCCTGCAAAACAGCTGGAGCCTAGTGAGGTTTGATGGAGGGCGTTTGTGAACAGAAGTTTCTATTTCCTTCCACAGATTCTCGATTGGATTCAGGTCTGGACTTTGAGTTGGCCATTTTAACACCCATTTGTTTATTTGTGAACCATTCTATTGCTTTATGTTTTGGTTCATTGTCTTGTTGGAAGATAAATCTTTGACCCACTCAGGTCTTTGCAAACTCCAACAGTTTTTCTTCCAGAATGCTCCTGTATTTGACTCCATCCATCTTCCCATCAATTTTAACCATCTCTCCTGTACCCGCTAAAGAAAAGCAGGCCCAAACCATGATGCTTGATGCTAGGGGTGGGTATTGCCAAAGAAGTCATGATTCGATTCGAATCACGATTCACAGGCCACGATGCGATTCTATCACGATGCATCACGATACTTGAATTATTGCGATGCATTGCAATATTTTCTCCTCCATGTTTTGTTTTTGAATGACTCGGCACAGTATCCCACGGCCGGAAATGCTTGTGACACAAGGCAGTGTGCGTCAACACATTTGCAGCGACATCTACTGGACTGGAAGTTGTATTACACTTGTTTTTGGCTGATGTTCGCCAACCATTCATGCAATTTTATTTATTCATTTTTTTAAATTAATAATCGATTCTTGGCATCAAGAATCGATGCAGTAGATCACGAAAATTAGAATCACGATGCATCATCATCACGATTATTTTGCACACCCCTACTTGATGCACAGCCATGTTTAACAACCCTTCTTCCAAATGTTTGCTGTGTCTCCCAGATAGCTTTTGGCTAACTTTTAATAGGACTTTTTATGTATATCTTTAAGAAATGGCTTTCTTCCAGATATGTGCAGCATATGACTGATTGTTGTCCTATGCACAGTCTCCCACCTCAGCTGTAGATCTCTGCAGTTCATCCACAGTGATCATGGGCCTCTTGGCTGCATCTCTGGACAGTTTTCTCCTTGATTAACTGCATCACAGTCATCTACTCAACAAAAGCTTTAAAGCAAAGTTTCCTGGTCTTGTGTGTTCTTTGAACATCGTTCATCTGTTCACTAAAGTTCTCCTTTAAAGCTTCACAGAGCAGCTGCTGTTTATTCTAAGATATTTTTTTGCACTTTACAGCTATTCACTGTTTTTTTGTTAATATATCACTTACAATCCTAATAAGATAAAAATATATTCTCTACTATATTGTTGAGGGTATAATTGTGCAATACTATAGTATTTTCAAACTGTGCCTGTAGAAGCCTACCGTATCCTGCCATGGACGTTCCCTGTGGCCCTCCTGGCGCATTCTGGTTCTCCTCCGTCAGGACCTTCACATATCGCCTACTGAGCTCCAGAATCTGTTCGCGTAGCTCGGCGCTGCTTTGATGGCGAGGCTGCTGCACGGTGTAGCGCAGCAGCATCAATCCCCATGCCAACCCAAATACCAGCAGCAGCACACTCAGCTTCTGGGACATGTTCCTCCGCAGCAAGAGTGCACCCAGCATGGTACAGGGCAGGGGGATAAGGGTGAGGTAGAGGTGCCCTTTTCAAGGCCAAGTATCTTGTCTTGGTGTGACAACTCAGTTCACTGGTGAAAAGTCTCGTGATGCCCTTTTTTTCAGTAAGGTCAGAGTTCTGCAAAAGCTACAAACATCCTGCCTTTAAGGAGGGGATGAGGAAATGCTGAGCAAAAGCAGAAGCCAGGAAGTGTAACCAGAAGTAGGTAAACACCCTTAAAACCAACAATCAGGAACCTTCGGTGGAGTCCTTTGCTTGCAAGATCTTGAACACCAAATCATCTATGCAGTCATGGCATTCAGGCTCCACCAGCATAGTTACCTTTGCTAAAGAAGCACACACACACAAAAAACAAAACAAAAACAAAGTTAATACAATGCATTATTTGACATAAATCTAGAATAAGAGTTCATGATTTGGAAAATAAAGGTGACATTTTTTTAGATTCTTATTAAAAGGGAGCTGGCAGCAGCATTAACAGTTACTATTTAAGCTCCTTTTCATTTTTTAAAGAGATTTCTACACTGCTTTGGATCTGGGTGTGCTATAGTCTACTCAGACAAATCTCTTTAGCCCAGAAACCCAATTACAAGTTTAGATTTCACAAAGATCTATTTCACAGCTCCCGAGAGTAGACCAAGCAACTGACAAGAGTCGTTCAGGACATTATTTTCTCAATCGCACTATACAATAGCTATTGAAACCAATCTGCGCATACAGAAGAAAAGATTAGGTGATCATTTCTCAGTTTTCACAACTTAGTTGACAAAATTCATTCTCAGGAGGCTTATGCGAGGTGTCACTTTCAGTTCAGGGTCAGACGGGGGACAGCGGCTGAATATATAAATTATGAAAAGACGAGGTAACACAACCTGAATCTGTGCTGAAGCTTAATAGATACACAAATTCTTCTCCAAGTTGTATGGAGACTGGAATTTGGCTGCTTAAAACAGACACTCAAAAACAAAACAAAAGGCCTTTGAGGAAACCGATAACATGACACGGCGATTTTAGTGATGGGTGGATTTAACATAAAAGCATATCTTTCAGGTTGCATTGCTTTCCGAGCTGCAGTGCTACTGTCATCATAGAGTTACATTCATTTTGGGCAAAAAAGGTATCAGAATTAGCCTTCAGCACAAAATACATATATAAAACCAATAAATATAGCCATTAAAAAGGATCTACAAGGTCACAATAAAAGAATTGACTTTGCAGCAAACTCCACTGTTTTGATTAGGATTCTGGATGTGGCTAATCTAGAAGCTATTATCTTCCTTTGACTATTTTAGAACAGTTCACAGGTTTGTTTGAGTTCTCATCAATACTCAGTTCCATTGGATGATAGAAGGATCTGTAGCATAACTCTACAACCACCATGCCTGACAGTTGGTTCAGTTTGTAGGTCTGAAGCTCATATCATCACAGAAGACGACTTTTTGTCAGTCATCATAAACTTCAACCTTATGTGACCATGAAACATTTCTCTCTATAAGAAGTTTGAACTTTTAGAGGAGCTTGAAGTTTTCCAACTTTTTTTCTTCTTCTATTCAGTTCATCCCTTACTGTGTTTCCAGGTTTATTTTTTTATTTTTTACCATATTGACCAATTTTCTTTAATCTGAAAGTGACACTTGGGATGAAGGTGGTTAATAATTGGGCACAACCAGGTGCTTCAGCAGGAAAGCCATCCACGTCACATCAAAGCTGCTTTTGAGATGAAGGCAGCCAAACATCACACATCATTTTATTATTTTTAAATAAAAAAATAATGCTGAATTCCCCAAATTACTCCTACATTGATAGCTACTGTGAAACTTTCCATTGGGTATTATTTGTGTGTTAATATGCTCTACAAATCATTTTCATCCCAGCAGATTAGTTACAATACATAATTAAATTCAAACTTGCAAACTGTGCAGAATATAATCCAATTTTTTTAATTCATAAAGCTACATTACTATTATAAGCAGATTAATTAGAAGAGCTTTCTGCTCCTTAACAGAAATGCTGCTTATAGGTTGCAGCCACCCCTTCCCCACTCGCTGCTGTGCACTGCTGGTCAGTTGCTCTTTATGGCTGGGGTGACTGTGACACCTTTTTCCAACTTCTTATTAAAACAACTTCAATTTGAAGGGATTTTGAACTTAAAACCTCACAACAACTTGATTCTAAGAACTGGTTCTTGCATGTTTGGAAATCATAATTGCGATCGAGTGTCAATATACAGTCATATTAAAAGTTTGGGCACCCCTATTAATCATAATTATTTTGATTTCTAAATATTTGGGTGTTTGCAACAGCTATTTCAGTTTGATATATCTAATAACTGATGGACACAGTAATATTTCAGTATTGAATTGAGGTTTATTGGACTAACAGAAAATATGCAATATGCATTAAAACAAAACTTGACAGGTGCTAATCATTTTATTGATTTGAATACCCTTAACTTTTCACTCATTTACTGAAACACAAAATTGGTTTGGTAACTTCATTAAGATATGAACTTCATAGCCAGGTCTATCCAATCATGGGAAAATGTATTTAAGGTTGCCAATTGCAAGTTGTTCTCCTGTTTGAATCTCCTCTGAAGATTCATCATGGGGACCTCGAAACAACTCTCAAATTATCTGAAAACAAAGATTGTTTAACATAGTCGTTCAGGGGAAGGATACAAAAAGTTTTCTCAGAACTCAGAATTTAAACTGTAGGTTTCCACTGTGAGGAACATAGTAAGTGTATGGAAGACCACAGGGACGGTTCTTGTTATGCCAAGAAAAATATCAGAGAGGTAGAGAAGAAGAATGGTAAGAATGGTGAAGGACAACCCACAAACCACCTCCAAAGACCTGCAGCATCATCTTGCAGCAGACGTTGTCACTGTGCATCGTTTAACAATTCAGTGCACTTTGCACCAGGAGAAGCTGTATGAGAGAGTGATGCGACAGAAGCCTTTTCTGCAAGCACGCCACAAACAAAATCACTTGAGGTATGCAATAGCACATTTGGACAAGCCAGCTTCATTTTTGAATAAGGTCCTGTGCATTGATGAAACAAAGATTGAGTTGTTTGGTCATAAAAAAGGCGTTATGCATGGCAGCATAAAAAAAAAACAAAAACACAGCGTTCCAAGAAAAGCACTTGCTATCCACTGTGAAATTTAGAGGAGGTTCCATCATGCTTTGGGGCTGTGTTGCCAATGCTGGCACTGGGAATCTTGTTAAAGTTGAGGGTCGCATGGACTTCACTAAATATCAGCAGATTCTTGAGAATAATGTTCAAGAATCAGTTACGAAGTGGATGTTACGCCAGGGATGGACAATTCCAATGTTCTGGAATGGCCATCCCAATCCCCAGACCTGAATATCATTGAACATCTGTGGGATGATTTAAAGCAGGCTGTCCATGCTAGGCGACCATCAAACTGAACTGGAATTTGTTTTGCAAAGAAGAATGGTCAAAAATCCCTTCATCCAGAATGCAGGAACTCAATAAAAGCTACTGCAAGCGACTAGAGGCTGCCGTTTTTACAAAAGGAGGATCTACTAAATATTAACATCTCTTCTTTGCTGAGGTGCCCATATTATTGCACCTGTCAAATTTTGTTTTAATGCATATTCAATATTTTCTGTTAGTCCCATAAACCTAGATTCAATACTGAAATATATGCAGTATTAGACATATCATACTGAAATAGCTCTTGCAAAAACCCAAAAGTTAAGAAATGAAAATAATTAAGATTAATAGGGGTGCCCAAACTTTTCCATATGACCGTATATGTTAACATCTGCAGGTGTGCAGCTACTGTTTGGGCTTCAACAGCTTAATTGTTGATGAGAACTGCAAACAATAATCTAGGTTACCAAGCTTCCATTTCTTTTTAGATATTTTTTAGAACAAAATGTGTTGGGATTTTTTGTCGAGTGACAAACAAATGATTAATTTTCGACAGATCTGTTCATGACTGTTAAACCAGCCGAATGTTTGGTTAGTAAACATACAAAAATATTAGTAAGTATAGTGAAAATATTATACAAAACTCATTTAATGTTTAAGCTGATGCACACCACAGATTTAGTCATAGTTTATACTTATCTAAAGTATTTATCCTAGACATATTTTAAGAAAGAAGTGTCATTTGTGAAAATGTTTACTACAATTTGACTTCCAAGGTGAATACAATGTTTAAAAAAATATATAAACGAGGCAAAAACATCCTTAACTGTCTTACTTCTTAAGATAAATTGATTAAAAACAAAGTAAAGGATTTTTATTTTTAATTTCAGTAAAATCTTTGCACAGTTCTAATTAATTCACTTTAAAAACATTTTTAAATCAGTGCAGCTGTAAACCTAAAACAATATATTTCTCTTTTGGAAGAAATTATTTTAAAAATGTAAAACTTAAGAGTCATTCTATGTCTATTTTTATTTGATCCAACCACACCTCTATGTATATACATTCAATAAATAGCAAAAGCAGGGCGTATAAATATAGTGCTCTTCTATAAAGAGTGATAAACCTCTTCATACATGTCTGAATGGCTCATCTACAAGTGAAATATTAACTATAATATTTGTCAGACAGCTGACAGGATCACAAACTGACTTAATTGGCCAAATTGTGGAATATAAACACAAAAGTCGGCAGCATTAGGGGGGAGAAAATATGTCAAAGCGACCCAAGGAGAAAGAAAACTTACAGCCAAGTTTCCTTTAAAACTCTCTGGCTTATTTACACAATACAGAGAACATGTAAATGACCCAACGCCACACATGTAAAGACAGGGAAAATACACAAATACACAGCCTTCAAAAACAAACTCTGTTTAATTATATTTCGGGACCTTAGTGTTTATTTTAACCCATTTCCAATCCTAGCAAAACCTTCCGTTGAGGTTAGCTTGACGTGTTAGCTCACAGGGTCCTGTAACGTTCTGTAGAGAAATACTTACCTGGAGATAAGTGTAGCCCAGTGAAATTAGTAACGTTGGTCCAGCTGCGTGTCCAGAGAGGATATCTTTGATGTGGAGGGAGGGATTCACGCTGCAGAGGTGCTGGGACTGAGGGGATATTCAGCGGGCATGGAGGGATGATGCTTGCTCTTCGCCACCCCGCGGCCGTTTCCGCTACCGCTGGATAAACATCTTTGGAGCGCACCCATTTTCATTATTTTAACACAAAAATGTAGAAAAAAATATTAGAAGCGAAGCACCATGTCTTTACGTGTCTTTCTTGTTGCTGCTTATTTCGGTTGGCTAGTTAACAGCTTAGTTTAAACACAGCTACTCTAAATCGTCAGCTGCTGTACTTCTAGGCATGCGACTTTAATGACTGTCATGGATCCCCAGATACGTCTTCGGCTGCGTCAGGTGTGTTGCATCCTGGGAAATGTATTCTTATTGTGACGTTGAAGCGAGTCTTCGCTCGCTGCTTGTCACATAATAAACTACAAATAACTAAAACATGGAGCGCGATAAATAATGATTGAATGATTTTTTTTTATTATTTATGTAGGCTTATGTTGAAGAATATTGTTTGCAAATAATTAGAGTTTTAGCTAGTTACCCCACTGCTTAAAGGTCGTTTTTTGTTTGTTTTTTACTTTGACAGTAATATTTTTTTTGTTTAAATTTAACATTCAAATTTAAAATGGGACTGACCAAGAAGCCATACTTATAATAAAAAAATATAACAGATAATGAAATAAAATAGACGTCATAATAAAGAAAAACAAACTACAGAAAAAACAAAACACAAAATCACCACACATAATCCATATATTTTCAAAAAGTAATACACTTACATCCTTTACTTTTTCTCAGAACTTTTTTTACATCATTACACATCACACAACAATATGAAGGCTAGACCACATACATATTCAAAAGCTTCTCCATATAGTCATCCCACATATTAAACCAAAATCTAATCATCCAAATCTGAATATTAGTCATCAGCCATATTGGGTAATGATTTATGTGGTTCAGAAATAGGTTTTGCCTGAAATACTTTTTGAATATATTCAGAGAGGTGGTAATTCTTTAATCGATTCAACATTTCTGGCCCCTACAAACCACACATGCTCAGATTTATTCTTTCCCCTCTTACTAAGGTTTTCTTACTTTAACTTGTGTTTTCTTATGTATTTTTTACGTTTTCTTGTTTTTTATTTTATATATATTATTTTATTTTATAAATATATTTTTGCAGTTCCCTTTTGAAAGCAGTAGAGGGAGCTCTAAAACCATCTCCATAGCAACCCAATTTGTGGGCCATAAACGAACTGCATTTACACAGCAAATAATTTGGATTTTAGGGAAATGGACGCCATATATCTGGATAAATCGGCTTTGAAATCAGTAGATGACTACTGGGAGTACAGAAGGTATACGTACAAACAAATGTTTGCTTTCTAACTAGGATATAAGTAGTTTTACATGAATTTGATGCTGAATTACCATTAGACAATATGTAAGCTATAAAAAGCAGGGATTATAAGACAGGAAAAGAAACAGAGCCTTAATAGTTGTAATTGTGATGACGGTTTGCCGTATTGCTGTTGAAATTGTTGTCTTGATTTGTATTTTAAGGGTTGTTGGTGACGATGATGGTGGAAAACTTTTTACTCCAGAAGAATATGAGGAGTACAAGAAGAAGATTTTACCTCTGCGTATGAAAAACAGGTTGTATGTGAGCTATGGTGTACCAGGCGGTATTGACTGCAAGCTGATTGGCCCTGAAACACAGTGTTTTTGTGGTCATAGGTAAGATAATACATCTTTACACACAGTAGAGCATTCAAAGGATATGTATCTTTGCTGTGTATTATATGCAAGTGAATTATTTTCAACCAGATACAAGCAGCATCAAACAGACTGGGAGGTGGTTCCCTCCGAACGACCCCTTGCTCTACCATGCAAGGTCATGGGATGTCACTGTTCCACTTATACCTACACTCCTCGGGTTGGATGTAACCCAGTGCGGTGCAGGTGCAAACATTTACCCCAGGATCACAGTGAAGCCCAGGGCCACATGTGCAAGAAGTGTGAGTGAGACATCCTAGTATCATTATTATAACACAGGTGAGACTTTATAACTAACTTTCATCTCAATTAAACATATTTTTCAGGCAATTTTTGCTCTAGTTTCCACAGTCCCTTCACTTGTGGCTGTGGTCGGCCATGCTTTGAGCACCGTACTTTGGTGAGTGATTATAAACAATAATCAACAATAATAATGTTAAATTAAATAATAACAGCCCATGTAGTCAGTTTGATTTATCTCATCGTTATTACTTTATCACAGGTTGAGACAAAGCTGGAGAGGCAGGCAAGGGGTCAGCCAGTTGGCAGAGACGTCCCTTATGCAGCCATGGGGGGTCTGACAGGGTTTAGCTCTCTGATGGATGGTTACCTCAGTGTGGAAAACCCCTGCACACGTAACAATTTTTATTATATATTTTCTTTTTTTCACAAATTCTCTAATAAAACCAGACGTAGAGCTTTAAAAGTTTTTAAAATGTAGTCGTCTCTCCCTGTAAACACAAGAGGTTTCAAAGTATTTTCAGCTTCATAATTCTCTTATTCTCCGGAGTCTGGAAATTTTTGTGAAATCAGCAGACGGCAGCCGCATGGTGCAAGGGAGCTTTTCATTAGATGGGAAAAGTTCCTCTTTTAAAAGCATAAAGGGCAACAAAGAGCAGCAGAGTGTCAATGTTGAATGAAAGACATTTGAAGGAGCATAGATCTGCAAAGGTCACAAGTGTACAGTATCTTTTAACACTCTGCTTTATCCTGCTGGGAGAAAACCGAAACACACGTTTTGCTGCTTCATGCGAGAATTACCCTTTGTGTGTTTCTACAACAGCTTCAAGCATCTATAAACAAGTGTCCCTTATTTCAATCATAAAAAAAATAGATAGGATCTTATTTCTTAGGAGGGCCAAAAGCACCACAAATTAAAAGGATAGAGTTATTTAAATAAAACTAGAAGTTAAATAAAGAACAACTTACTGCTATAAATGTCATAAATTTGAATGTTGATAGTCAATGAATAAATGTGTTGTGAATTAGCCATTTATAAATAAACTGAACTTGAAATGAATTGTAATTTATATGTAACTTCAAGAGTAAATTACACTATGAAATAATTCAAGGATTCAATTATCACTTCTTGCACAGAACCCAATATTTTATTGGTTAATCTGCACAATTACTCATGGTTGTATCTATTTCCCCTCATCCTGACACATGCTCCGACTGACAAATTTAGGAACAATAATTAATTAAATTTAAAACTATTAATTGAAAAAATACCCAAATTGCACACAAAATTTGCACATATTTGTTGTTAGATTGATGATAAATTGCCTTCCAATAAATCTTTATAAAAAATGTTGGAAATAATTTCAAAATGAAGTATCTAATTTAATTGTGGATATAAAAACCAGGAACTTAATCATTTATACACATTATATATCCTTTATTCCAGGTATAAGTTAAACTATATCATTATTTTGGTTTCATGACATTACTCCTGTTACTAAAACACACATCTAATATTTTTAGTTATTTTAATTTTATTATACTGTTTGAATCATGTTATATTTGTATTTCATTTTGAATATGTTAACTTTTAACATTTTGTCTCTTTTATCCCTAAACTCCCCACCTTTTAATGGATTTTTTAAGACATTTCACTTGTTTGTTACTTATATTTGTGATTATGATAAGAAATACATTTTATCTATCATCATGTTTATATGGCAAGTTACCTTACTTAATCATTTTAACAAAATCCTTTGTTAAAACTGACTCAGCTGTATGTTTACCGTTCATCTTAAATAATGATGCATGTCTTAGAGAACCACATCATTCTCTGTCCCGTCCGTTTCTCATAATTGGTGCTGTTTTCCTTCTCAGATGAAGGCAGAAGAGACGGCAGCCTGCAGAGGAGCTCAGCAGCGAGGGAGCTCAACACCTCTGCTAAAACATCTGGTTCTGGCGTCTGCAAGAAACAGACAGACAGACACTGAAAAGCAACATTTGCAATTAATTGTTTGACTGACCTTTAGCATATCAAACACAAAACTGAATAAATTATAGCAAGCATCTTCACAAAGACAATAATTTGTTTTTTGTTTTCATTTTATTTTTAACCCCCATATAGGAGAACAGAACATCTCGCCTGTTCAGCCAGGCCAACAATTCCTCCTAACGACCCCCCTTTCAGAAGCATAGACCAGTATCAGGTATAGCAGGCCAACAAAGAATCCAAACGACTCCCCATTCCTAAGGGGCGTACTCATTTGTCTGGATAAATTTGCATGTTTTCTAAGCCAAAACAAGGCTTTGTTTTTGGTCATATCTATAAAGCCTCAAACTCAATGCTACGTCTGACATTTTTGATTGAAAAAGCTTCCTGGATGGGAAGCGAAACGTCTTCAAACTTGGAAACAAAGTCCAGTGGATTTTTTTTTTTTTTTTTTTTACTTTTTTAGAATAGAGCAAAGCTCTACAAAAATATGTACAATGACTCTATTTTTACTTTAGCTGTGTCTCAGAAATCTGTACCAATTAATTTTACAGAATTTCCGCTTATTGCAGTTTTATTTTCATTTGTCTTTTTCTGTGTGAAGAGAATAAATGACATGGTCAAATATTAACGCTCCTCAAAAATGCCCCCTGCTTCTCTGTCAGTGAAAAAAACAAAAACAAACCATCATTTTAATTTACTGCGGTTTTCTAGGCATTAGTCGTATTTTCCTGAACTGCTCGCTAATTGAGTATTTATACAATGTTTTCTTGATTGTCATATCCTTACTGTCAGATATCCACCCACTCAACTCTTCACCAAAATAACACTGGAGATCAGTGTTCAGTGATGAGCTCAGCTCTTAATTTGTGGATAGATGTTCTGTCTTCGATTGATTAATCCCATTCATCATGGTAGATCAGCGGCGATGTGAGCTGAATCATTCCATGCTGTGAATGCAGATTGAAGATCATGTTTTCTCCACAAGCGGCCCAGTTTCCAGCATCTTTAACAGAGAAGCACAATAAAAAAAAAGATTTAGGTGAGGATTTACTCCCACTCAGATGTTCCTACTCTAATGACAGTGTTAGCGTTGGTGCTAGCCACTGCTTCTTTGGTGTCAGCATTACAATACCTAGCAGAAGTATTTGCATCCCATAAACTTGCACCAATAAATCTACTCTTGAGAGAGAGTCATGAAAAGTTTCTGCTTTAAGGTTTGCAATAAGGACACAGCAAATACTTTGGACCTGAACACATCCTCTCCTTGGTGAAACACAGTGGTGTTAGCGCAAAGCTTCTTCTACACAAAAACATACAGATAGCACAAAAATGGAATTGTTCAGATCAAAATGCATTAATGCATTTTAAAGGCCAGGTCAAATTCCAGAACTATAACTAATATTAAGATTTGAGAATTTTCGATTTACATATGCTACCTATGTAAAAAATGAATGTGCCAGAGGTATTTTATAAAGAAGAATGGCAAAAATCTCCTTCCATGGATAATTCAAATCTGATAAAAAAAACAACATCTCTCAGTTGTCTATTTGTAATACAAATCCTAAAGAGCATATTGTGCTATTTAGTGGCGTATCAAATTATATCTATGCCATACATCAAAATCTGTCCATGTCTTATGGCAAAATGTGGATCAGTAGAGAGAAGAGCAGGTGTTCCTGAAGGTAAGAAGCAGGGCTTTTGCGTAAAGGATTGCACAGATGCACCTGCGTCTCCGATTCCAAGTGCTAAGAGGAACCAAGTTGGCGACTCTACATCTGGAAACCACATTTATTACTCAAAGTGTGTGTCTTGGCTCTGGGATTTTGTTGTCTAAGATATCTGCCACGTCTATCTGCTTGTTTCCTCTGCTTGCTCACAGAGGTTAACAATGGGTCAGGTGCACGGCACATGGGAAAAGATGAGGGAGAGCGAAAAACTCAATTAAATCAAGAGGTAAAGCCATAACACATTAGTCTCACACAATTACAATTTAGGGTAATTGCCTCTCCATAGCAACGCTGTGAAGGAGGCCACAGGTAATTTCTTTTGGACACTGGCTGAAGGAAATAACTTCAACATCTTTGTTTTCCCCATGGAAACCCCACCCTGCTTGATTGACAGCTTTTAGTCAATAAATCAAAATGTGAACACAGATGATTAAGTTGGTAATCAGAGCAGAGGGAAGAACTTAATTGGAAGAAATGATAAGTAAACAGTGCTGTAACTTGCGACATTGCCACGTCATTTGTTCAAAGAAATACACTCAGAAAGCAGAGTTTACTGGAAACGTATCCCCTTTTCTTAAAAAGAACTGGGTTTCAACAGCATAAGGGGATTTCAAATTTATTTTCCTAATCTACATTAGTATCCAGTTAAAGCTATTAACAAAGCAAAGAGAATTGCTGCTTTTATTTCTGCTAAATTCTGTCCCTTTTAAAATTGTAGCTGTTTTCTCTCTTGAAGAAAAAGATGGACCCATGGTTTGCAAAAAGAGTTGATAACCCTCTGGCTTTTTTATGTTTATCATATTACCGCCATGAATTTCAATAAAGAAGCAGACATTAGGTAACAAAAAATATGAAATGAAACATACTAGCATGTTATTCGTTTATTTTATGTGATTAAAAAATAAATCAAAGAACCAATCTTCTTTAATTTATGATCTAAGTGTCTGTAGCAGCTTTGCACATATTGAAACAGATTTTTTTGTTAAACTTTCTTTGTACCATCACACTGGACTGAGAGTCTGTAAACAGAGTATTGACAGACTACCCAGTCCCTGCTTAAGAAAGTCCTCCCCACAACATGATGCAGCCATCATCATGTTTCACTATTGGGACTGTCTGTGCAGGGCTAAGTGTGGTATTCATGCACATCACATTGGATGTAGACCAAAATGGTCAAATCTAGTCTAACCTGAGCAAAGCATTTTTTTCTTTTACTTTAATGACTTTCCATGGCAACAATCACTAATTTGGAGAGAGCACAACTAATAGTTGTCCTTCAACACGTTCTCTTGCCTATGCAATACCTTTCTGTAGCTCCTCTAGACACTAAAAACAAGTGGGTCAGAAATAAACCAAACTGTGTTATTTCCAGCCAAGCTGCTGGTCTATTATACCACCAATCCAGGAGCAACTCCTTACAATATATACTGCCAACATCTATAGCAATGCATGTACTTAACCAAAGTACACAGTATTGTTCTCTCTATATATTGTGTAGCACATCTAAAAGCAGAGATGAATAAAAAGAAATGCAGTCATCTTCCCAATTATAACTATAAGCACAATTGCAGACTTAAAATGCTGTGAGTGGGGAACAATCTATTTGTGAATTACTCACTTGATTACTGAATGTTTAGTAATTAGTACTGTTTTTTATTTAGTGATTCAGACTAAAGGGATCTGAAAACAAATGCTCACCACACCAGATTTTCAGTGGTTGAAAAGCCTAGAAATCATGCAACCTATTTCTTCCACCTAAAAATGAAGAGCTGCTTTCTGCTGTTTTATGACATAAAGACCATAACATAAAATAAAGGTTAAAGAAGTAATGTTGCAAAAGTAATAATTGATTTTAAAAGAATTCTGTCAGAATCCTTTAGAATCCCACTCTATGTCCATGTTGCAGTGCTATACTTATGATATATCTTCATTAGCCTAATTTTCATTGTGTTGAGTATCTTCTAAATGTAGGAAAAGTAATTTAATATTCAACACTGTAAATATTTTCTAATTAATAAAGTTAATGTTCAAATGCATTTAGTTTAAAGAAGGCATTTAAACAACCTAGCTGGCTGCTAAATAAATGTGTTGCTATGATTGAATCTAACTCTTTAAGAGTCAGTTTGTTAAAATGCTTTCTAATTTCTCCACTTCATCATTCAGAGTGCTTGTAGCGCACATTTACTCTCTATTATCAGACTTCATTTTCCTCTTGCCAGCCTGTAACATCACGAGTGATAATATATTCAACCTTAACGAGCCAGTAGTTTACAGCATATGTTAAATTGTTCGGAAAAAATGTTCTTTAGAGTGTACCAAGTTCTTATCTTGGCATTGCTTCTTTTCCATCCCCTTTTCAAATCATGTATATCTTTTCTTCCCTTGCTTATAAATGTGAATACAGACAACTTTATATGCAGGTATCAAATACATAAACATTATTTTGTGGATGTTGATTGCTTTTCATTGCATTCTTGACAGTTTCCCACTGGTATCCCCGCTAAATAGACATCAGAAATAAGACAATTCAACTGTTTGTTCTTATTTTGAATGTAAATTGTCTTGTTCCATTGGAAAAGCGTCTCACTTATCTCCTTAATTCAAGAAAAAACACACCTATTATTAGAAAAAATGGCTTATTTATAGGGCTATTCAGAGATACCATATAACCATACATATATTTTTTTGGGAGTACCAGGAGAGAACCCACTCAGGCATCGGGAGAACATGCAGAACTCTATTAAAAAAGAACCTAGGCCAGGCAATCAAACCCAGTGCCTTTTTTCCTGTGAATCTAGAAACTGTCCCACACTGCAGCCCAGATGAAAAACATTGAAGAAAAATGCATTCCTTTCTATCTTTACTGGTTTCCCATTTAAAAAAAATATATACCTCTGTGACACTTTAGTGTACATAAAACAGAAAAAATCACAGTAAAAAAACCTATAAAATTCAAAGGAGTATGTCAGCAGTTAAAAAGCTGATTGCTGAGAAATCAAGAAGGAAAAAAGTTAAGAAATTCTGGAGTAGCAATATGTAGTAAAACATAATAAAAAAAAATCTTATTATATTGCAGAATATATAGAACAAAACTGTAATGTAGCCAGCATATAATTATTCTAAAATGAACGGTACTATACAAAGACCACTTTTTGGCAATTGTTGTGGCCAGTGGTATTGTCATAGATTACTAATGTAAAGATCTCATCAACTACAAAAATTATTCTGATAATTGTATTTATTAAGCATTGTTGTTTGTTTCCAAAAAACTGCTTTTTTTTTTCATTTAATTTTCCCTTACTGA